AGCCTAGAAAGCCGTTGCGCAACGTTGCGGCTCCCTCCGCCTCTACTTGCCAAGCCAGATGGGGCCGCAACCGTCGTGGTTTACGATGACGACGACTCGGACATGAGATGGCAGTCGCCATGCTGGGGATTCCCGTCAGTGGGTGGATAATCGAACGGGAGATGGCATTTGCCATAAACGTCTCTCCATGACTTGCTGTACCGAAGATCCTTATTCCCTTTTCGTGTCGATCTCGCCTATAGTTTCTAGTGATGACATAGAGACGGGGCGGCAGTACGGCCTCTTGACCCGTTCGGCTCGAGGAGGACTGCGTATATTCCTGCTCGCAATGCAATACGGGTACAAGACTACGAATAGAAGAGTATGCGAGTCGGTCATAACAAACAGAAAGCAATTGCACGACCACACACCTTTTGGAAGTCTATGTGTCTTGTGCGAGGTTGCCATATTGTCTCACTGTGGTGGACGCAGATGCGTTGATCATCATGGGGGAGGGGCGTAGGGCAATCGCAATGAAGCAGCCGAAGATCGCAATCCGCAGCGCAGTTGGGCAGAGGAAGAAGGTTTACCCTTGAAGACGCGCATTCGTGTCCATGGAGACTGATCAGCAAAGGACCCGCAGGCTAGGCGGTCAAAGCTTGTCCGGGTATGCACCGCCTCATGGCCCTGCGTGTCTTGCAAAAACCCGAAGGCTTGAGTGTGGCTCAAGACCATTCAGGAGAGGCTCTGCACCAAAGTGAAAGTTGGGGTAAATACGTGAGAATGTGAATTGAGGATAGGTATAGGAGACAATTCCCTGCAGACGCTGACAAACAAGCCGGGCGACTCGGGTTACAAGCAACCGGATCCGGGGTACAAAGACACGACACGCCAAGTAGGTCAAACTGTGCCGTCACTCGTCGACATCAACTCTCAGCCGTGCTACCGTCGCAATACATGTAGTCATTCCACCTCGCAACTTCAGAGGCTTACTTCTGCATCATGAGCTGGACGAACTCGTTGTCTGGATTGTGTTAGAGCGACACGTGTGATGGCAGCAAACAGGACGTACAGTCAATTCGGCCGTCGCCGTCCTGGTCGGCCTCCCGGATCATCTCGTCAACCTCGTCATCGGTCAATTTCTCGCCGATAGAAGTCATGACGTGGCGCAGCTCGGCGGCGGAGATGAAGCCGTTGTTGTCGCGGTCGAAGACCTTGAAGGCCTCCCGGATCTCCTCCTCGGAGTCGGTGTCCTTCATCTTGCGGGCCATCATGGTCAGGAATTCTGCACGAGGTTAGAGCGGGGGTGTGGCAGAAGTGGGAGGGAGAGGTGCCTGGGAAGTCAATGGTGCCGTTGTTGTCGGCATCCACCTCGTTGATCATGTCCTGGAGCTCAGACTCGCTGGGATTTTGGCCGAGCGAGCGCATGACGGTGCCCAGCTCCTTGGTGGTGATTTGGCCTGTGAGGCATCATCGTCAGCGGGGTCAAACTCGGGTGTCTAGTGCGGAGTGCGGTTGCGTGGGCAGGAACGAGGGCGCTCCCAGGGGGGCAAGGTGTGGGTGGTGCAGGCGACGGAGAGTACTGACCATCGCCGTCCTTGTCCTGCATCGCAAGGTGGTTAGCTGGTGTTGGGTGGCAGGCAGGGCTGGGCGGCCACTTACAAACAGAGAGAAGGCCTCCTTGAACTCGGAGACCTGCTCCTCGGTGAGAGAATCGGCCTAGAGGGCAGTGTTAGCAATGCGCCGGGCTGGGGGCGGGCGTGCGGTCGTCGTGTTTTGCAGGGCGGGGTATGTGCGAGGGCGCGCGGGCGGGCGGGGCTACACACCATGTTGTCTCTGGGTGGTGGGTGGTGGGTGCGAGGGTGAAGGGTGCTGGGCTGCTGGGCGACGATGGGCTGGGGCGGTGGATAGAGCAGAGGCGCAGGTGTGGTGTGAAGGAGGGTCCCGTAGTGTTTGCGGCTGGGCAAGATGGGCTGGAGTGGAGCAGGCTGTCAGACGGCCGTCTGTTGGGGAGCTGGCCTAGCGTCGCCCAGAGCGGGAAGGCGGCTCCCTCGCCGGCGCACCGCACCTCAGCCGCCGACACGCCTGCGAAGCGGCCGTCACTCACAGTCTGGCCGTCCTCTCAGGCTGACCCTCGCCAGCCCAGCATGTGGCGGGACCGAACCAACCTCTTCATATCCTACCGCCAGTCCTACGCCCACCACCCCCAGCAGAAGACGCGCCATGCCCGCCCGCGCTCCAATGGCCTGGGCGACAGCACGCGCGTGTCCGAGGAGCGCCAGGGCCTCATGTCCAGCGGCGCCTACCACGACGACGGCGACGCCGTGATTGAGATGGACCTGCTGCCTCCGCGCTGGCTCGACGTGCAGGACGAAATCACCCAGCACCTCGCCGACATCGCCACGCAGACACGCAAGCTCGACCAGCTGCACCAGAAGCACGTGCTGCCTGGCTTCGACGACGAAGACGTCAAGAGGCGCGAGGAGCGCGACATTGAGCATCTCACCCAGGCCATCACGCGCCTCTTCCAAAAGTGCCAGCAAGCCCTCAAGCGCATCGACGCCATGGTCCGCGACGCAAAACAGCAGGGCAGCATCGCCCAGGGCGAAGACGTCATGGCCCAGAACCTCAAAATCGCACTGGCAACCCGCGTCGGCCATGTCAGTGCCATGTTCCGCAAGAAGCAGGCTGCCTACCTCAAGAGTGAGACAACCCCCGCCTCGCAGCCCTGGCTATGCTAACAGTCTGTCGAGAACTACGCGACCTTGGCGGCTTCACCTCGCCCTTCCGCGTTGCAACACCCGTCCAAAACCCCTACAACGACCCTGCCTTGCAAGAGTCGGACGCCGATCGCTCCTTCTCCCAGTCCACTCTCCTCCAGACAAAGCAACAGCGCATGCGCCACGACCCCAATCAAGCAATCATTGCTCAGCGCGAGCGCGAAATCGAAGACATCGCCCAAGGCATCATCGAGCTAGCAAACATCTTCCAAGAGCTGCAGACCATGGTCATCGATCAGGGCAGCATGCTCGATCGCATAGATTACAATGTAGAGAACATGTCGCGAGACGTCAAAGAAGCCGACAAGGAGCTCAACGTCGCCTCTGGATACCAGAAGCGCACCATCAAGAGGAAGATTATGCTACTGCTAGCCATCTTGATCGCAGCTGTTTTCATACTACTGTCGCTCAAATTGGGCAGGAAAGGAGCAAATAATACGCCCGCCGCTCCACAAGTACCTGACGTTCCGCCCGCCATGGCCATGGCAATGGGATACAGACGACAATCAACAAGCACGCGCACAAGTCGCATATGGCATCGCAGGAGGCGGCGCTTGTGGCAGGGGACGAGAAGCGACCCACTAGATAAATACATGTCAAGCTGAGCTCTCCCATATACTATTTCCAATCATCTTCTCACTTCACATCAGACTACACGCTCAACAGCTACCTCTACTTCCAAGTAATCAGGCATCAGATTTGCTGCAGGATAGAGTGCAGCGGTGGGCGAGGGCGGCGTAAGCATCGCTATCGGGGTGGCGCAGGCGGGTGCAACGGTGAGCCCCACAGCTGCATGGGCGTTGGGTCAGAACCAGACTGCGGTTTAGGCACCACCATGTCAGACTGCACAATGCAAGGCCCCATAGTCTCAGAACTCAAAAGTGTAAGTCGCGTAGATTCAACTCGGTGCGTGTTGCGAGAGTGGACGTAAATAGCCAATAATGGTGGTACCTCGGCTCGGTTGCTCTTCTACGCCAAGGTCGTGAATTCAACTCGTGCTATTAAACGTGCATTCCTGGGAAGGACTTTTATATCATTACCAATTGACGTCTCTGTGTTCTCTGGCTCAGCTGATGAAGCAACCTGCTCGCTCTATGGCCGTATCATTACTAGCAAATCGTACGTGAATTACGAGGAAGCGTGTTCTTTCGAGGCTGTGTTTCGAAGACCTGCTCTAGAGAAGGTCGTCGCGTCGTTGACAATTAGCTAACAAGACGCAATGTAGTATACATCTCTGCCTAGGCGTCTATATACCTCATCATACCAGCTTCCTTGTTCACACGCAGCAATGGAGCCATCAACCTCTCCACCCGTTGCAGACATGGTAACACCGCTATCCGATTTTCAAAAGATAGGTCACAACACATATCTCTGGACATCATCATCATACCTATCCCAACTCGCAGAGCAAACTCCGCTCATCCTACTCTTCACTTGGAACGCTGCGGCCGCAAAGCACATCGCCAAATACACACTTGCCTACCAGAAGCTTTTCCCAACATCCCGCATCCTGCTGGTACGATGCTTCACCCCAGACATGTTCCGCCGTACCTCGTCCTACGCCACTTTGCTCGAGCCAACAACAGATCTTGTAGCCGAACATACCGCTTCAGGAGGACGCATCCTTGTCCATAGTTTCTCAAACGGCGGCGGGAATCAAGTCAATGAATTTGCAAAAGCATGGAAGAAGAAGTATGGAACAGTGCTACCAATGCAAGCACAGATTCTCGATTCCAGTCCGACCAAAGGCCCGTGGATGCAGAGCCATGCAGCCATTTCCGCGTCCCTTCCCAGAAACACGTTTTGGGTTTGGTTTGGTGGGGCGCTGGTTCATCTTCTCCTTGTCCTCACATTTATTGCAGACAAGACTACGGGAAGGGAGAATATGATGGTAGTTCTCTGCCGAGAACTGAACGATGAATCGGTGTTTGATACCAATGTACCGCGTCTGTATTTGTATAGTCATTCGGATACGATGGTTCGGTTTGAGGAGGCAAATGAGCACGCTGATCTTGCCAAGGCAAAGGGATGGGATGTGACAAAGGTGCAGTTTGAGAAAAGTCCGCACTGTGGTCATATCAGGGAGGACGAGAACAAATATTGGGCAGCGGTTATGGAAGCTTGGAAGAAGGGGCCGAGGAGTGGTAACATGTCTACTTGATCTAGATACCAGCGTAACGCAGTCCTCATCCTCCTTGTGTTTATTCTAAGCGGAATCTGGTATGTTGCGTCTTGGTACGTCTACAATCGAGCTGCCACCAGACTCAGATATATGTTCCACAGTAAACCGCAGAAGCTGAGGAAGACAATACGACGCTCGACAGGGATGAAGGTGGTGCTAAAGAAGTTGGCAATCGGCCAGACCTTGTATGAATCGAAGATGAGACCGAAGAGCTCCTGTTTTAAGTATTAGCACTGCACACAGCAGCCCTTCGGCAGAGGGCCTACTTACGTTTCTGAAGTCCTGCCCAATCATCGCAACTGTCTTGCCCTTCATGAGACCAATCAGAATCAGGAACATTGACTGGTTCAGTAGCGCGCCCATGGTTATGCACTGTATCTCGCGAGTAAGCTTTAATCCGTCACCACAATTGGAGCATAGGCCACTCACGTCCGTAAACCACTTCTTGAAAATATTCCACCAGTTCCTCACTCTAACCTCTTCTTCCACAATGCCCTTTCCTTCTCCATCACCTCTCAGCATTATGCCCTTCTCCTCTTCACCTTCGCCTACAGCCCTTGTTTGCTTGACGGTCTTCCAGCCCGGAAACGCGCGCTCGAGCCAATTCTGCCAGTGGTAGTTGATGGGCGCGGTGAGTACGACCATGATGGCGAACTGGGTAAAGAGGACGCGGTCGAAGACGAAGGGCTTAGATTCGTTCCATGCTTTCAAGCGTTGCGCGATGACGTTGCTGCATGAGTCTATGGCGAGAGCGGAAAGACAGGCTACCGCGATGGGAGGTAGCTTCATCGTGGCGAAGAAGGTATCTTGGAACGCGAGGAAAGCCGGCGGAGAGTCGCTGTCTAGGTAGTTGATGAGGATGGTGGGGATCAGGTCGCAGGACCGATTGCGAGATGCAGATCAGCGAGGCCAAGTAAGCATCGCAGTACGCGGGCGTTTCGGCGAGGCGGTCACGGACGGTTTCGTAGCAGGGTGGTTGTAGTGGTGGAAAACCAACAAAAGTCAATCGGAGTGCGGCATGGCCATCTGCTTCGGCTGCGCCGTTGCAATGCCACTCCACATTGGTTGGTGTTGCTACCTACTGCGCTTGTCGGGGCATTGGCGCTTGAATCAGACGGTGGCTTGATACGCGTCACAAATGACTCGGCAGCACGCTTATCGCTCTCTCAGCCTTTACGAGGCCTTTGCCGCGGTTTTGTCACTTACTTAACTTCTCGATTCCCTGGTAGGAGAGGACCTGGAGCTTCATACCTCCCAATATTAAGCCGCGCACGAGTGGCCGAGTTGTGGCAGCAGCCCACGGAGCCCTGGACAGGCTGCTTCTTGAGAAATTTTGGTGGCGTACACGCTGCACACCTATGACAACGCTCGGCCGAACAGGAGGCACATGAAATCTGAAGAGATCGTAAATGAGGCAGGACAACATAAGCCAACAGTTTTGGAATAAGGAGCCGAGATGAATTGGAATACCTATCACCTCTCGCCTTTTACGCTTGATAGGTTAAGCAAATACCAGACATTAACGAGTTCATGATCGCATCCAGAGTAGCCTCATGCAGTCCCTGAATCTATTGCAATCTCTAAAGCAATGGGCCATTATGAATTACAGGCTGTGATAGACAATATTGTGTATGGGGTGACAACAGGCTGTTGATGTGTAATTGAGTCTGTATCTACACACGCCCGCATGCCCCGCAAAAAAATCGCAATGTGAGAGAATACACTTCAGGCTAAAAGCTTGTCTTGTCCAATAAAACCAAAAGAAGAGTTAACAGATAGAGCGAACTATGCAGAGAGCTACTTGCAAGCACAACCTGTTGCATGTATACCTTCTTGACTCGAATCTTGGCGTAAGTAGCCAGGGTTCAACAATAGTTTGTATATAGATCGCAAGGGGAAGACCTGAAATGTATGAATAAAGTAGAAGACATCAAGTCTGTTCAAGAACCCAAATCACATGCAATTTAGGCTTCCAAGCAGTAACTAAATAGCCACGTGTCAGAGCAAGAACGCGATTGCGTAGAATCCAAATAGTACTCCGAAACCGAAACTCTTTTCAACCCGCAACGTAATCTCATATTACTCTACTGTTTCTTTTTCTTCTCGTTTCTGTAGGTGTTCACTCGTGGCACTCCCCGGCTCGAACCGTGCGCATGGAACAAGCCGACCAAACTCCGTTTAAATCCACCAACGATGACATAGCGCTATACATCATCATTGCTCAGATAACGTCACCGCATAACCAGCTCACCAGTTAACATGCTAAACAGATCTGTAGTCACGTTCGAAAACAAAGCGTAATGTGGGGTTCGATCTGTGTGCATGAACTGGAGATCTACCGAGGCTCAGTAATCGAAGGTGGGTAGACGGCATCGGCGAGCGTGTTGCGCCGTCGTACACCGGTGCTGTCTCTTCTTTCGTTAGTTAGGTACAAACCATCGTTTTTGCCTCACATCTGTGTCTGTACTCTGCTCCCAAGAAACGATATCTTTCAAGAATTACCACCATCATGTCAAACAAAGCAGCATGGATCCCAGAAGCAAAGGGCCAGCTCCAGGTCAAGGAAGCTCCCATGCCAAAGGCAGGCAAGGGCGAGGTTGTTATTAAGAACCACGCCGTTGCCGTTAACCCCGTAGATTGTGAGTATCTGCATTTTCTAGTAGGAATGAGTTTGCTAATTAGAGCAGGGAAAATCCAGGACTACGGCATCTTCCTGCAAAAGTATCCCAACGTCTGTGGTACTGACGTCGCTGGTGAGGTGCACGAAGTTGGCGAGGGCGTTACACACGTTACCAAGGGCGACCGGGTGCTAGGGTTCGTCTTCCGCCTTCAACCTTGAGAGCTTCCGCGGGGCTGTGAACTAACAGCATGGTACAGACACGCGTTCTCACTCGTGACTAACGACCCCGCGCACGGTGGATTTCAGCTCTACACTGCTTGCAACGCGCTCGTCGTATCGAAGATTCCATCGCACATGACGTTCGCCGAGGCCTCGGTGCTACCTCTTGCCGTCTCCACTGCCGCCGCATGCCTCTTCAAGAAGGAGACCCTCGCGTTACCCTTGCCATCCTCCAACCCCTCTTCTACGGGCAAATCAGTGTTGGTATGGGGCGGCTCGAGCAGCGTTGGAGCGACTGCAATTCAGCTAGCCGCGGGTGCCGGTGTAAAGGTCGTCAGCGTAGCGAGCAAGCACAACCTAGAGAAGCTCAAAGGCCTGGGCGCAACAGCAGCCTTTGACTACAAGGACCCCAAGGTCGCCCACGACATCATCGCTGCTCTCGAAGGCACGGAATTCGCGGGTGTTTGTGACGCCATTGGTACACCGGATGCTGCGGCTGCCTGGGCACCAGTATACGAGAAGCTCGGTGGACGTTATGGCTCTGTGCTGCCTGATGCAGAGGGCCTTCCAAAAGGTATCGAGGGCACAAGCGTCTTCGGTCCAAGTGTAGCGCTGGCGGACAAGTACGTCGGTGACGTTGTCTGGGCTCGGTGGGTGCCAGAGGCGCTGGAAAGGGGTACACTAAAAGCTGTGTAAGTATCTATGTACCAAGTGCGTGTGAGGCATACACTGACTTCGTGCACGTACCTTTAGCCCAGAACCACTGGTAGTTGGAAAGGGACTCGACGCTGTGGCGGAGGGCTACAAGAAGCAGAAGGAGGGTGTCAGCTTTCGCAAGGTTGTGATTGAGTTGTGAGCCCTATCGGAACACTAGCCCACACAACGAACATGTGATAACAACATGTCGAAACTGACGCGGGGCATAGCTCTGAGTGATTGTGTCCAGGCAGTTCCTCTAGAAGCCACGTCCGGCATTACAAGCACATGCATGCGCTGAACATCAACAAGTTTCTGCGGCCCCGGCGAAACATAACCCCGGTCGGGTCCACTTAAAAGTTTTTAGCTTCCTGCACTCTGCTTCAGTTCACGTGCTTCTTGTTCTTCTTCTTCTGCAGCTGCAAGCGTATCCAGCGCTCGCCCCTGTGTCGCATGCTCATTGACACCAGTTTCTCTGCTTTGAGCACTTGCTCTTGTAAGTACTACTGCTCTCCCAACTTCCCATCCCTGCACCATGATGAAAAGCATTCCACATTCGCAGTTTCCACGCTAGCCATCAATCGAACCTACTTTAGATGGTCAATGAGCGCGAATACCTTCCTTGGATGTCTGATTTGCATTTCAACCTCACATTACACTTCTGCTTGTTTTCGACAGCTTTCGCTGACTCTTAACAGGCCACCTAGACTCCGCCATCGTTTAGCATTCATGCTGCTATGACCAACGTGTATGCAGCTCTGTACGTTACCCAATTAGCAGTGCTCACTACACGATCGTACATAGTTGGAGTTTTGACTAGTTCATTCAATACTCATATACAATTAACACCAAGAATACCTATACTTTGCCACTTTCTCTTGATGGTGTTCCACCATACTAATGCACATTGTCTGCCAGAGCTTCGTTCCATCTTTGCTGGGGTATAACAGTTGCTTCGCACTACAAGCTCGATCGCTTAGAGCATGAAGAAGGTGAACAGACCCGTCATACCCGCGAACACAGCGCTGCCAGCGAGATGGGACGCAGCACCTGTTGCTGAAGAAGGTGAAGGTGACTCGGATGTTGAAGTACCGTTTTCGTTGAGCTTACCACCAGTGCCGGCGGTTGATGTAGGCGATACGTTTTCGGTGGCCTTCTCAGAAGCGTTCTTGAATGCATCAAGAGTGTTGGGACCAGACGCCCTAGACAATGTCAGTGAAAGCAAGCGACTACAAGATAAGCGGAAAACTTACGGGGGGTTGATAACACCGACCATGCCATTCTGGCAATGCATGCCCTGAGAGCAGTAAAACCAGACGGGAGCTGAAGCATTCTTGACCTCATAGGTGAAGGTTGTGCTGGCGACGCTCTCCATATCAGATGTCGGAACAAAACCGGAGAAGAAGCCACCGTCCATAGGCTTTAAATTTGGACGTACGAAGTCAGTGTATGTCCCACACGCAGTTCGTATATGGAGGATCTTACCTGGCAAGGGTTGGCGAAGGTAGCCTGAGCGACGGAGTGGTTCTTGGGCCAGAACGAGAAGGTGACAGTGTCGCCCTCAGCGGCCTTGAGGCTGTCTGGCTTGAAGACAAGATCGCCAGCCTTGTTACCGACAATGACCTTGTGATCCATTGCGAAGGTAGCGCTGGCCATGGCCGAAGCAGCGAAGATGGTTGAGAAATGCATTATGGTTTGTTTGTTGGTAAAGAGACTAGCTCGTTTGGGAATTAAGAAAATGCGGGTAGAAACGAAGGTTGTCTTGGTGTGTAATTGGTAGTGGGAAGAGAAGAACGTGGACCTGCCTGCCGAGCCAAATGAGCACATTTGCGTCCATTATATAGTATATAGAGAAACAGTTGCCGCCTGTTGAGCGGATCAATCGGTATACGCATGCCATGCCATAACACCTTCGAGACTTCAGGCGTCGCGAAGGCACGCTTTCTTGACGCCTGAACGCTTGAAGCGAGATCTGGGGAAACAGGGCGGTCAACGTGTCACAATGCAGAGGTCTGCTACTGGCTATGTTTGCCATGGGCGCCTGTATTGAGCCACTTGCCGCTCGGGTATGGCTGTTTCGAGCCTGAGGCCGATCCTGTGGCTGTCCAGGAGCTAAGACCAGACCCTTATTCCCATGGCAAATGCGTTTCTGGCCAAGGGATGAAACTCGCTGTTGGTCGTTGATGGAACGCGAGATGTTTTGGAGAGCGTGCACGGAAGTCGTGCGCTATTTCCGCCCTGTCATCTCACCCGT